AGCGCACCTCCACCTGGGATCCTGCTTACCTGGAAGTGCACCTCCACTTGGGATCCTGGGATGCTGCTCACCTGGGAGCGCACCTCCACCTGGGATGCCGCTCAGCCCGCGCACCTGGGAGCGCAAGGGACCGAACAGTCCCAGACAACTCCTGACCATGAGGGGCAAGAGCTGGTGGAGGGAAACGTCCCTTTTTTGCGCCTTAGCTGCACAAGCCGAGGCTCCTTCTGTGGCTTTCCTCGGTGGGTGCCCACAGGACGGAGCCCTAAATTCCCCTTGGCGGTAACCCCCTTAGGAAGGTGTCCTCTTTCCTGGGTTCACTCTGCCGGGCCCCCTCCATTCCCTGATTGGGACTCATATCCCCGAATAACCCTCCTGTGCAGAGTCCTTGTCCTGGTCAGCTTCTGGGGGAGTGCGAATCAAGGTGGTTGCTGGTATATTTCAAATGACATCATCAGGCGGAAAACTTACTTTATGATGTGGAAATTGTTCTTAGAAAAGTTTACTATGAGATTGAATTTTAAAGGGTAACAATAAATTCTGAGCTGGGCTCCCAAGACCAGCCAGGTTGCAGAGAAACTGAAACCAGAAATGTGCATGGAGGTTTCTTGGAAATATGGAGAGCTGCTCTGGGGTTCTGGGTGAGAACTGAGTGACTTCGCAAGTGCGTCTCCGCAGGGACCATCCTCCCAATGCCCACGAGTGGTGGCTGGGGTGTCTGAACACACACGGCTCCCTGAGAAGTGAACGGCAGGCCACAGACTTGGGTTCAGGTCTGCGGGAACTCGGGAAAGCGCAGCGGGGGGCCCGGCTCACCCACGGCAGGCTCGAGGGCCCAAATGCAGTGCGGGGTCGGGGGGAGGGCTCGTGCCGGCCACCTGTGCTCTCCGGACACGAATGAAGGCAGCCAGCCACTCGGGGTATAAAAAGCTCAAAACCAACTTTTATTCTGTGGTCGTTACAGAGGTTAGATTAAGTCATAGGCATACAAGTCACCAAGGACAGAGGGTCAATCCCCGGGGCCACCTGGGGCCGAGGATTCTCGAGTGCGCCGGCCGGTGGCGTGGCTGACATCAGGTGCTGAGAAGGTCTCCGCTTCCGGTGGTCTGTAAGGACGTGGGGGGAGGGGAGCTCGTGCGGACGATCTAAGGCTTTTAACACAAAAGGCACCCCTGGCCTTCCTGAGGGGATTCAAAGTCACATCGGTGGTCTTTGGGAGAAAACAGAGCTGCCCGCAGAGTGGCCGGAGACCGGCCGTGGGGACCGCAGCAGGGAGTTCAGGCTTCCTTTGTCTGCACCACCCTGTTAAGTGGGTCCAGTATGCGGGTCGGTGGCGGGGCGCTCGGAAGCAGATGAAGAAGGTGGCGACGCCTAGCACGCGATGTATGGCTGGACACGGGTGCTGGGCAGGGGCCGGCCCCCCACGGCGGGGAGGGGGGCCGGCACCTGCGCGCTGCAAGGGGCTACTTGGTAGAAGCACCGGTGCCGAATTCCTTCGGAAGCCCTCCCGTTGGGTTTTTAAAGAAAAGAACAAGATCCGTCTGGGGGCGTCCTCTGAGGTAACGAGTTAAGAGCAAGCACCAAAGTGGCCCCCGGGCTGCGCGTGGCCCCGGAGAGAAGCGCGCCCGGCCCCTCACAGGTTCTTCATGCACACCTGGCAGCGGCTGATGTGCGTCCGGATGAGCCCCGCCTTGAGCGTGTCGGCGGACGGTGAGCCCTGGAAGCTCCGCTCGGGGATGGTGGTGAGCCAGAAGCTGTACTTGTTGGCATAGTAGTGGCAGGTCCCGCGGCCCCCGTTGCACTCGATGAAGGGCGTGGCGCGGAAGTCCTCCAGGCAGCTGCCCGGCGACACCAGCGACTGGCCGCCGCCCTCGTCACCGGCGGCTGTGTGCTGGGCGGGGGACACGGGGCAGGGCCGTGAGTGCGCCCCCGGGACAGCCCGGGGCCTCGGACGCGCCCCAGCTCTGGAGCATCTGCCCTGGTCTACACAGCCCGCCGAGCCGCGCTCTTCAATGCTAGGAGCGCGGCGGGGTGGAGCCCGCGGACGGCGGCCCGGGGCGCACGCGGCAGGTGCGGGTCCAGGGCCATGAGCCCACGCCCACGATATGCAGCTAAGTGACAACCCGAACAGAAGCGGGTTATGGCCAGTGGACGCGGCGGACTTCATCTGGGGGGAAATACCGTCTCCCGCATCACCCACTCAAAGAAAGGGGTGTTTGCCTGGCGGGAGAGATACCAGAATGTGACCTTTTTTTTAAAAGGAAGAATACAGTCAGCGTGTGGGTCAGCCTGGCAGGCCGGTGAGGTAGAAATAAGGAGCAAAGACAGCGGCCCCTCCAGCCCCTCCGCGGCTTGTGCGCGTGCAGAGGGCGTGGGAGCGGTTTGGAGAACCCCCCCTTGCTGACCCCCCTTGCTGACTTGTCGCTAACCATCCTGTGACTCGTGTGGCCATTACTGCTCCCATCAGAGGGCGCCTGAGCTGATGGTGAGGCTGTTGCCGGGAGGCGGGCCTGGCGTCACAGGGACCCTTTCTCTGGGTCTCATGAATGGCATAGCTCTGGTTTGGGCCCACTGGAGGCTCATGTAGACACGCGCCGTGTGGCTCGGAGGCACGGGCTATGTGCAACGGGAGGGGACTCGCTGCAGGCTGTGGGGGCAAGGAAGGCTGTCCTGGGACGCGCTGGGCAGGGAGCCTCTCTACACAAAACCACGGCAACAGAAAGCCTTGGAGTGTCCCGCTCACAGTAGGCAGGGGCCCCCCAGCCCAGAGCCGCCGTGTTCCGCTTGGGTGAGCAGCGCCGCCTGCCACACAAGGTGTGAAGGAGCTGAGGCCACGCGGGGAAGGAGGGAGCCGTCGGGCGGCGGTCAGGACGAACGCCCTGTGGGGGAGCCTCAGACCTGGGACCACTTCACTCCTCTGCAAGGGGGCAGCTCAGTTTTCATATTTGAATTTCCAACGCAGGTTAAAAGATCTGAGGGCCACAGCTTATTCCTCGGGCCTGGAGGCTCCCTGATGGTCACGTGCAACCAAAAGGGGTTTTTCTGTCTGTCCTCAAAGGTCACCTTACAGGGTCATGGACTTTCCTTTCTCCCTACCATGGCGGAGTAAGCAGGAAAACTTGAGGGCTGCCATCAGGGTAGCCCAGTTTATCCTGATCATGGCCTGCACAAAGGCCTGGTGGCAAATTAATGGGCCCCTTCTGGGTGGGGGCACCCATGCCGAACATGGCTCAGTTAGCAAAGTGCAGGCAAAAGCGCAGGCTGTATTCCAGCTCACATCCCCTGGGCCAGGTGCCCTTGTGCAGTGCACAACCTGAACAACTGTCCTGTGTGGCTATTCTTACAAAGGCAGCTGTTCTTGCTTCCCCAGGCAGGGTGTGGTTGGCGAGAGGAACTAGATTTTCACCCAGCTCCACGCTCAGAGAGAAAGTGGGCAAGTACCACATACCATGAGGAAGGAGTATCCAATCCACAGACTCCGCCATCCAGCTGGGCAGTGGGGGATGGAGACATCTTGGCTGTGCACAGCGATGGCGACGGCTGGGGCCTCGCACACAGAGCAGCGACTGATGTAGGGCCTGATGTCGTCCTCGGCCACGGGCATCATGGGCAGCGGGGCGGTGGTGGACAGCCAGTAGGACTTGTCGTTCCGACTAGCGTAGTAGCACACGTCCCCGGGGTTGCAGTATAGGAAGGGCATGGTGCTGAACCGAGCCAGGCAGGAGCCCGCCAGCCCTGCGGAGAGGGGTCACCGCTGAGCGGGGCGGACGCTGCTCCCCTGGCCTGGCCAGGCCCTGGGGCCCCTGGCGGGGCTCCGACCTGCACCGGGGACCGGGACCGAGCCAGGGTTCTGCAGTTCCTTGTTTCGGAGCAGACCCCGCTGGTGTTTCAGCCCTGCCCTTCCAGAAGTTCTCACGCAGGCCTCTGCGCCGGGCCGGGTTGTCAGGGAGCGGGTTTTTATGAACGAGCACCCCGTGGTGGGGGTCTTAACGCACCAGCCCCATGAATCCCCTGATGGGATCCCAGACGAGGGCCTGGCTTAGCCCACCCTGAGGGGCCCTCCCAGAAGGGCCGCTGGCCGCACCCACCCCAGGGAAACTTCACCGCCCGGGGTACAGGGCAGGCCAGAGCGAGGACTGAGCGGAGCCGGCTGCCGGGCTCCCAGGCATGGCCCGAGCCTAGAGCCCACGGGGAGGCACCCGCAAGCTGGCCCAGCGCTGCGGCCTAGGCCCTGTCCTCGCTTCGCCTTGGCCCCGTTGTCGTTTCCGTTAGACTTAGTCTGCAGGCAGGACGTGTCGACAGGAATGTGCACAGACCACCGGGTTCGGCCTGATGGGTTCCCCACCACCGTCCCGCCACAGATCCACAGACTCAGGCACCCTCCCCGCACAGCCCTGCTTCTAGCTGGGGCTTGCCGCACGCCTTCTGTGTGCCCGGAAGTCATTTTAATTCCTTCTGGCGACCAGGCTCACTTAAATACAGATGTGCACACACATCCGTATCTGCTCTCCCGGGGCTTCTGCGTGAGGCGCCGCCTGGCCCCAGCCTGCTTTCAGAGCCTGCCGGAGCCGCTGGTGGCCTCAGGGGGAGCGCGGCCAGCCCCGGGCGGGGGGCCGGCCCCAGGCGGGCGTGCTGGAGCCCAAGGAGGCTGCTGCCGCGCACTCTCTGCGGCCCTGACCTGAGGTTTAGAGGTTTCAAAGGCCATTTTAGTGTTTTCTGCAGCCCCGGGGTGTGGACGGCCCGGTGCCCCCCGAGCCGGCCCCCCGAGCGCCTGCACGAACCTCGCCGGGGCTCAGCGGCGCCACCTACCCAGGTCCTGGTTGTGGGCTTTCTCCTGGCCTTCAAAGTACAGCAGGCTGTACCCGCTCCAGAGCTTGTTCATGCCCACGGGGCACATGGGCTCCTGGTCCGTCTGACTGTGCTTCACCAGCAAGTAGCCGATGCTGACGCTGCGGCCGGGCATGCCCGGCAGGCCGGGGGACCCTGGGCGGCCCGGCTCCCCTAGAACCGAGAGACAGTGGCCGCCTTTCAGCTGCCGTGTGGACTTTGGCGTGTGGCTGACATGCTTGCCTCTTGAGGCCTCTGTCCGCTCTCTCCCCGAAGCCTGGCCCTCACTGGCTCTGCCCCTTGCAGGCCGAGAGCCTCCTGCGGACGACCTGATCCACCAGCGTCCTGAACCAGCGGCCAGGGGTTGCAACACCCGGAGGCAGAAGGGCCCCCACCCAACACACGGGCCTCCTCTGCCCCGAGAGCCAGGCCCCCCTGGCTGGACCTCCCGGGACAGGCAGCTCTCTACACACGTGGGCACTCGTCCCGCCATGATACCTGCCCAGGGGCGATTCTGTCCCCAGAGCACAGCAGAATGTCCAATCTGCCTCCAGCAGGACGTCCCTTCAAATGTTCAGAATCCGCGGTCCTGGTTGACCCTGGCTTTCTGTACCCCTCTCCTCCGCGGACGCCCTCACTTGTCATCACTTCCTCATGGGACGTCCCCGCCCCCGCCCCCCTCGGCCTGTCCTCTCTGCTTGTCTCGGTGCTCGTTCCTCCCTCCCCAAATACCACAGTCCGTTCGTCATCCACCACTCACCTTCCTGGCCCACCGGCCCCTGGTGTCCCGTGGGCCCCTGGTCTCCTCGGAATCCAGGAATAGCAGACACACCACCTCTGCCCTGGGGCCCTGCCTTCCCGGGAGCTCCGCGGAAACCTGCCAAGCCACAGAAATGAGTGTGACTAGCAGGGACGAGTGACGATGCTCGGCATCACTGCTGCCGAACAAAGGCTTTTCAGCCAGAAAACCGAAGTGAAAACAAAGCAAACAGGAGAAAGAGCCTTTCCCTGGCTGCTCTGCAGCAGGGCTCCCACCTGGTTCTCCTGGGGGGCCCTGGGGCCCCATCTCTCCCTGTGCCCCCGGGGGGCCTCTCCTTCCCTGCGGACCCACTGGCCCCGGCTGGATGGCAATCTTCTGGGGGATTCCTGCAATCCCAGGGGATCCCATGGAACCGGGGGCACCTGGAAAGGGAAAAGAAAGCCCAGTTGGCACAGGAGAACCCCTGGGCTTTCTTGCTTTGACCTGTATTCCACTGTTTTATCCGTTGAATCCAATGGTGGAGCTTTCTGGAACCGTCTTGCTCTCCAGAGACGAGATGGATACTACCCATCTGAGAGGTCGCTCAGCCCTTTTGGCAATTCGTGTCATTTACCACATCCCAGTGGGGGTGATGGCAGGTCCCCATGACCGAGGGAGCCCTTAGAGGGGTCCCCAAGCCTGAGGGGCAGGGACAGTCCCGAGGCCCACCCCTGGTGGCAGCTCACTGGAGACGGGCTCTGCAGGTGTATGAATGGCCACTTACCTGGGAGTCCTCGGTCTCCCTTGGGTCCCTTGGGGCCTCGGTCGCCCACACTCCCGGTGGCGCCTGTGTTTCCCATGAATCCTGGCTCCCCTCTGGGCCCTTCAAGGTAAGCAGGACACGGAGGACTCACCTGTCTGGCTGGGGGCTCCAGCCATCTCTGACCGGTGCCGCCAGCCTCCCTAAGACGAGGAGCCCTAGGGCGGCGCTGTTACCTTTCTCTCCCGGGAGACCGAACACGCCGGGCTGGCCTTGGGGCCCAGGGTCCCCGCCCCATCCTTTGGTCCCGGGGTTTCCTGGAGCTCCTGGGTTCCCCACATCTCCTTTGCCTCCAGGAAGAGCGGCAGGCCCAGGCGGCCCGGGGGGACCTCGATAACCTATTGACGTGCATCACAAGAAAGAAGTTACACGGGAGGAAGGCGCGGGCTCGGCCACGCGGCACCAGGATGCGCTGCAGGAGGCGCTCAGGGGACCAGGCGCAAGGTCACCTGTTTGGGGGGAGTCTTTGGCCAGTCTAACACCGGACGACTTTCTTCATATATGTACGTTAAAACTTGGCATGTTAACCATTTCTAAGTGTGTGGTTCAGGGGCACTGAGTACATCCACCGTGCTGAGTGGCCATCACCACCTTGCACTGCAGAACTTTCTCGTCTTCCCAAACTGAAGCTCCGTCCCCAGGAGTCAGCAACTCTCCACCAGCTCCCCCAGCCCCGGCACGCTTCCTCCCTTCCATCTGTGGATCTCAGCGCTCTTGGGACCTCACACAGCGCTCGTCCCTTCGTGTGTGCCTTATTTCACTTCGCACAATAATGTCCTCAAGGTGGAAACGACGTCTGTTCCATCCCCAGAGTAAGCCGGTCCCCACGAGCTCCTGCCCCCGCAGAAATGGGAGTCCGGCTTACCTTCCAAGCCAAATATGCCCGGTGCCCCTTTGTCACCGGGGAAGCCAGACACGTTGGAAGGGGGGGTGATGCCTGGGAAGCCCTGAAGTCCTGGGCTCCCGACTGGGCCTCGTTCCCCTTGGGAGGGAAACAGAAGAAGTCCGTTTGAGCATCAGCATCCAATATTTCGATTGATGGTTCCCCGCCCCCACCCCGCCACTTCCTGTCCCAGAGCAGGGCCCGGGAAGTGCCCGAGGCCAGGTCCGGGGAGGCCACCAGCCCCTCCTGCTGCCCAGAGGCCCCCACGCATCGAGCTCAGCGATGTGGCTACTTGTGGATGGCGCGTGGCCCTGAGAGGTTGGCTCTGTTGCTCATTAGCCCTGGTGCTGGGACAGGAGGCTCCAGTCCTGGTGGGACGAGGCCTCTGGGCCACACAGATGCTTTCAGTCCCCCTGCGGCCACCCTTCAGTAGCTTGGGCCCCAGGTTTACGGAGTGGGTCCCCACTGCTCACAGTCTGTCCTTGCCAATTGCCCACTCCCCAAGATCTGGTGATCCCAGATCAGTACTGGCGTCCCTTCCAGACAAGCAGAGGGGGCGGAACCCTGGAGTCCCCACTGAGCTCCCTTGTTTCAGCTCAGTGTCCACAGGGATGTCCTAGCGGAGAGTCCCCTTCCCCGATCATGGCCGAGTCTGTGGCCCGGCGGGCACAGAAGCCACCAGGTCATGGGGCAGCTGCAGCTTCTGTGTAGGCTGAGGACCTCAAAGTGGACAGCTGCTTTAAAAAGGGCCACTAGTTTGGGAGCCCGTACGTCCCAGGTCCCTGGGATGGAGTGCAGGGCTCCCCAGCAGGGGCGATAAGGATTCTGAGAAACACACTGCACGGACAGCGAGCAGAGGGATGAGTAGGGGTAAGCCAGGGACGCTCTGGGGCACACAGCGCAGCAGAGGTCAGGAGGACTTCCGGGGTCACAGTATTCTTACTGAACAGATAGTTATCGGACACTTAACTCTGGAGCAGGCATTTCACCGAGGTATAAACGGGAATAAGAGAGGTGATTTCTGCCCCGGTGGAAACTGTGATGTTCCCCGTTGCCAGGGTCGGAGCCTGAACAGCACGCGGTGCGCGTCAGCTGTCGACACTCACTGTCACATGGAGAGCAGTCGTGGGGGTGTCGTGAGCGCTGTCTACGGTCAGGATGGCATGCACCACGTGGGACCTACATCTCTCTCCTCCCTCTGTCCCGGGTCTCACCTCCGAATCCCATGGCTGCGTGCCCTGACCCCTTCCAGAGGGCAGATCCCCTAACAAGCAGGACCCTCTGAAAACATGCTGCCTTGAGGACTTCTAGAGAAGCCAGCATGTTTGCTGGGCTCCTGTGTGTAAGAGCTTCATCTGTATTAACCCGCTGAATCCTCTTGACACCCAGAAGGTGTGTTTCTACTTTCAATTTATAAAGAAAGCCATGTCTGTGGTCGCACCAAGCAAAAGGCAGAGCAAGAACACACATGCAGGCACCTGACTTCAAAGTCATGGGAACTGACCCTAGATCCTCA